TAGAGCCAAGCATGTCTAGTATGAAATAGATGATTTGATGAAATTTGAGTCAATGTGAAGATTGTTAGGAATAGTGACTTAAATTTAATAAGAGATTTCTTTGAGATTAGTTAGATATTGCTTAATAGACAAGAGACTTGCAAAAGAAGAATTTTAAAAGAAAAAAAATTTTTAATAGGTAAGTTTGACTTGTAGAAGAAGAATTCTAAAAGGAAATAGATTCTTAATAAGCAAGTTTGTATGGTTATAAATATGGGAAGTCTCTACAAGGATAGGTGTGAGAAAAATATGTAAGAGATTTGTAAAATTTTATAAGAATGATACTCCCATAAGATTACTGGAAATTTACGTTTTACGAGTGTGTATGTTTGCATATTTGTAAGTAAACTAAAGGAAACTGAGAGGGTTTACATAGGTATAATGCATGTGAGTATACTAGAGGAGACTAAGATGATCCACATAGGTATGATGAATGGGTACATATGGGTATGTGTTTGTTTGTGTTGAAAGGGTGCACATAAATATGTATTTATTTGGGTTGAGAATACTCCATAAGACTAGAGGAGATTAAGAGGGTCTATGAGTATTAGTTATGAGTGTTTAATTTGATTTGTATATTTATAATTCTCTACAACTAGTAGATCCATTTTTTCATCCATGGACGTAGGTTAGTTAGACCGAATTACATTAAATTGATGTCTCTTATGTGATTGATTAATTATTCGATTATGCTCTCGCTCGTATGATTGGATTGAGCCTTTTCCATTGACTCTTTAATAGGCTAAACCTTATACATATTTGTAAATTAGCCAGTATGATCTGCATATGGTCATGTTTTCTGGCACATTCATAATATAACCCTTTCTTTCCATATTTTGACCTTTGGAAATGGTATAGACAATTGTATTCTCAAAATTGCTAGTTCTAAGTTTTATATTTAGATGGAAACAGAATCATGTATTACAAAATCAAACTCTTAAAGGAAAGGAGAGTAGTTAAAGTTAGGGCTTCAAAACTCATTTTATATGCTAAACTGTCAAGATTGATTCGGAGGCATTATGTTTCAACTTTCAATTTCTTATTTGTACAACTGGCCTGGTTTTTATTTTTGTATGTGTTTATTTATGCCTTCTATGGGCTGCTGGCTGGCAGGTCTTTTTTTTCTCTATTACAGAGCCTTGGCTACAAGAGAATCTTTTGATTTTGACACGATAGAGGCAATTGTGAAATGAGGATGAAGCCTGCCCTCACACATGGTATAAGACAAGAGAGAGTGATTGACATGACGGATTTTGTCCAACTTGGTTTCAATTTTTGGTGAATGGTGATCCTACCAATTTAACCCTGGCAAAGGTAATTTGGCCATGCATGGATCAAGCTCCTTCTTAAAGAGCCTCATCAGTTGTAAGGAAGCTAAATCACCCAGAGAATCATTGGGAGCTGATATTTTGGTCCCAGCTGTCCTGAGCGTGGATGGAACAACCAGAAGGGCTCTGTTATACTTCTTTTCTTTCAAGCAGGGAGAATACTAGCCTGCATAGCTTCCTTAGGATCTTTAGGACTGTTCAACACTTCCACAATTGAACAGCCTAGAAGGTCAAAGACTTTGCAAGCTAAGATCAAAGACTTTGCAAGCTGGTACTGCAGGCAAACAGGAAAAGATAATTTTTCAAATACGAGTGTTACATCTGGTATTATAGTTTTGTTCCAAAATTTTTATTCTTATGCTCGCTTTTAGCTTGTGATTTCTCTACCGTAAGCTACACTTCCTAAATACAGTTATACTAGGGCAGGTATACACTTTTGCCTTGCTTTTTATATTCTCTCAAAGGACTTGGCAAAAAGGGGAGAGATTCCGACTTGATGTTCCATGTCTGTAGAACGTGTGCCAATCGAGAGCCTATCAAACATCCAATTTTGGGACAAGTATTGCTGCCATTTTACCTGCTCCAACAGCAGTCCTATCAATCACTGTAATGCATAAGACATTCTTCTCTCAATCCTTTGTATAAATCATTTCTTCCAGCACAAAATCTAAGTTGGTTATCACATGATCTTCGTTTATTTTTTAGCCTTTTAGATAGATCATGTCATTTTTTTTTTAAAGAGGTCTTAATCTGAAAAAAAAAAAAAAAAAAGAGATTGTATGCATTATAATTTAAATTTAAATTTGTTAAATATCATCTCTTAAAATTAATTGTATAAATCAATTGAACTACTTGTTAAATGACTTGTTGAATCTGGAGAGAAAGGTTTCCTCTAAAAAAACGGTGGAGAATCACTTGGGTAAGCCACAGCCACCACGTCCACGAGGCCTTGAATAGCCTCAACAGACCAAAACCTATAAATGGACGCTGTTGTGGCTTCATGCAATTTCTGCCACGTGCGGAAGATCACATCCTGAAAATCACCAACACCGGGTATCTTTGTTGTTTCTGTTTTTAACATAAAAACAGGAAGAAAGAAAAGACTGATATGGAGTAGATTTCTTAAAGTAACAGCATAAAGTTGATTTAGAAATATTGAATCCTGCATATCTTATCTATAGTTCCCCTGTCTGTACGATCCCTCCTTTCCTTTCAAGTCGGTGCAATAATTGAAAAAGTAGTAAAATCACTAGCAAGAATGCCTAAGAGTCTGCTATAAAATTGAAATAAATTTGAGGTTTCTTTAAGATGTTAAAATTCTAGAACTAAATTTAACGACCTAAAAAGAAATGTAAATGAATTACTATTTGATTGAATCATGATTGATTCAATACAGTTTTCAAGAACATGGCTCATTAGCTTAGTATGTACATGATTGCCTTGTCTTTTTTTCTTTTTAAGTTTAGAATAAAGGAGATCTTTTCAACAAATTTCAGAGAGGAATTTCCAAAAAGAATTGTTGGTAACTAAACTCAAAGAATTCGAATTTTTCTAATTCAATCAAACTATATTGACATTGCATCGTCAATTAGTAGGGAAAAACTTTGTGGGAGAAAATCAAAGGGTGAGGAAGCATTTTTGTGATCCTTAACGGGTCTCAAAATGCTTATAGATCAAAGAACAAAAGATCGGTTTAGGCTTTGCTGATGGGTTATGTGCCAAATGGCCTAATTGATTTGCTTGATGATGGGGTATCAAACGCGGATGCTACCAAAATCGTACCAGTTTCCACCTTGCTCGTGAGGTCCTTGATCTTGATGGGTTTATTTGGCTGTCATAATCATAAAATAAATATATGCTCATATTTTCCCAAAAGACAGAACAAAGTTTTAAAAGTGAAAGCGAAATTTATCTTTAAAAAATAGCCACATTTGGAATCTTTGCAGCCTCATAAATCTGATAGTATTTATTGTTTCTGTCATTGAACTTGATGGTGGTAACTTTTCTTCCTCGAGCAAAATGTGAAAAATTGAGGGAATGTGAATTCTGGATAAAATAGACTGAACCAACGACTTTGATACATCCGTATAAAATAGCAAATTTGAAATCTAAGGCCATTGATGGAAATTGGAAAGCTATGGGACCATTGGGGGTATGTTATTACAGTTGGAACTTGGAAGTCCTATTCATGAAATGTTATCCTGCTGTTTACCTGTTTTCTCTTTTCTTCAAACCACATCCTACAGAAACCAGAACCGGAAACTCAAAAGAGCTGTTTCTTCATGCTAGACTGGATGTATAGGAAAAGAACGTGTTAAAGTGATGACTTTTTAACAGGATCTTGGAAGCTTCTGGTGGTTCATTTTCCTCATGGAAGAGCAGTGGAACTGTTCCCATTGCCGTTAAAGTGCTGCAAGCTTGAACTCATTTAGATCAGCAACTATCTGGTACTTAAAGGGGTGCAAAGTCTTTTGAATTATTCCAGTACCATACTGTACTGAATATTTTTTTTTTCTGTAGATTCTGACTATTTCAGTTCAATCAATTGTTAGCTTCCGAGTGTGTTTTACCAGATTTCTTCTTCTGGTTCTAGAATTTGATGCTTATCGTTGTCAAGTGTTAATAAGTAGATAAGGATTATGAACTGCAGAAAACTGCATCAGACTTGGAACTTTTCTGCATATCCATTAAAGATTTTGAAAGGATTTCAGCTGCATTTTCCTAGTAAAGCTTTCTAACTGTTCAAATCATGGTAACTGTGTAATTTCTGATATGTGCTACAATTTTTAAGCAAATCGAGCAAATCATACAAGAGATTTCTGAATTTTAGTTTAGAAAGTCAATTGGTAGTGTTTGATATAAGATAATCACTAAAAAAATTATAATAAAAATTTATATAGTGATTAGATCACTACGTTTGGTAGTCACTTAGCGATCTTTTATGATGTTGATTTTAAATCACCAAAAATGATTAGGTCACTGCTTAGAGGGTGATTTAATTCTTATTTAAAATGGTTGGAAATTTTAATCACTCAAATAAAATGATATATAAAATTAACAATAGTCAATATTAATCATTTAATATTTGAATTAAATTTTTTTATATATTTTTAAATTTAATTGTAATTATATTATATTATAATTTTTTATATTTTCAAATTAATATTTATTGTAACAAGTTCAAAAAGCATTTGTGTGATTTTTTAATTTATATATAATATAATCTTTCGATTTTAATAAATTAATTTTATTTTCTAATTCAAATATTTTTTATATAATATATGATATAAAAATTAATTTATCTGTCAATAAATACATTTTTTAATTCAATAATTTAATTATATTTTATTATGAAATAAATAAAATATTATTAATATTTAAAAAGTGTTATATTTAAATAACATTGAAATCATTAACTTGTGCATCTAGTACCATGTGAATAATTATTTTTGTACTTTTAAAAAAATAATATTTGATATTTAGTAATACTAAACACATAAATATTTTATTACTAAAAATTAATAATTTTTAATTAAATAAAGTTATTCCAAATCACAAGTAGTAAGATCATTTTTCTAATAAAATCATATCAATTATTAAATTATCGTGATAGTCTTGAAAATATACCAAATGCTGCCTTGCGGAAATTCAAATTGACAAAGACCATTTCTGACTTGATTAATATATGCAGCCTCACCTACATTTACTGGACAGAAGTTGGAAATAGAGAAACCAATGGCTGCGGGGCAGCGGCAGGGGTCATCTCCATCAAGTACTCAATCAACCGTTAGAGAACAACAGAGATCAATTGAGGTTTTTGAATCAGCAAGTACTCAAAATGTTGGACAATCTAGTGATACAATTGAGGGTTCTAGTACACAAGTGGAAGAGGAAGGATCTTCAATGAATGCCACTTCTGCTACTAAGAAAGAGCCTGTGGACAAGTGGATGGCTTTTGGAGGAGAGACAGCCAATAATTCGAAGATCATAAGCTGTGATGACTCCATCAAAAACTTGAATGGGGCTAGCACTGCAGGGAAAGATTCAAATGGACAGTCTACTCATAGAATTTTGACTGAAGCTAGCATAGCTGAAAGGACTGCAGAATGGGGCATTGCAGTGAAGTCAGATGTTGGAGAAGGTAGTTTCGAAGTGGTTGGTAGAACCATAACGGCAACTGGAGAAGGTGATCAGAACAAAAATTCATTAGATAAATTTGCAGTGGAATCGGCAAGGACATCAGAGGAATCGAATTACGGATTGGAACAGGGGAACTTTCCTAGTGCGTCACAGGAGCTGAAGGATGCTTTGTCAACCCTGCAGCAAACTTTTGTTGTATCTGATGCCACCAAACCAGACTGCCCTATAATGTATGCCAGCAGCAGATTTTTCAGCATGACTGGTTATTCATCAAAGGAGGTCATAGGAAGAAACTGGTAAGTTCATGCTTTTAAGTATGTAAAGAGGCAGTTGAGAGCCGTTCCTAAGTGGCAAAGACAACTGTTTCTTTCGGAACAGTACTATTAACAAAAATCTGAGAGCTGAGCGTGCTATGCAGCCGCTTTCTACAAGGACCAGAAACAGACAGGAAAGAGATTGCCAAGATCAGAGATGCAGTTAAGAATGGAAAAAGCTATTGCGGCAGGCTCCTCAATTACAAGAAGGATGGAACTGCTTTCTGGAATCTTCTCACCGTCACTCCCATCAAAGATGATCATGGAAAAGCCATCAAATTCATTGGGTTATTTTTCCTTTCTTTTCTTCCTAATTATCTTCACGTGGATATTCAAACTGTATTTTTTTTTTTCCCACATGCATGCATAGCTAGTTAAAGCTGTTTCTGCAGAATGCAGGTGGAAGTCAGCAAATACACTGAAGGCATCAATGAAAAGGCATTGCGGCCTAATGGACTGCCCAAGTCCTTAATTCGTTATGATGGTAAACTACCGTTTGTGTTGGGGTATTCTATAGTGTGACTTTAATTCTAGTATGTAATAATCCCGCATTTTGGAACAGCTCGCCAGAAGGATAAGGCTTTAGACTCCATCACAGAAGTTGTTCAAACTTTGAAACATCCTCAATCTCACATTCGGACGATAAGTAATGATGCCTCTGACAAGCTTGAAGAGAAGGATAAATTCAACCTTGACTACGTTCTGCCTAAATCTGGTGAAATTGATAACATTAGTACCCCTGGGAGATATACACCCCAGTCAGACTTCAGTACTGCTACTCTCGGGCAGGAAATTGGCAAGAAAACTAGAAAATCAGCACGCAATTCTTTAATGGGGTGAGTCTTTTTGGTTTAAGTTTTCATCTTTTACTCCTATTAGACTGATGCTAAGCGTACATTCCCAATGATTTTACCGCTGTAATTCTTTCTCTTATGGATTCTGTTTATCTCGCTGAAGCTTGCTACATTGTGACTCTGAAATGAGTATTGTATTCTTTATCTGATACATGGCATCTTCTTCCAGGTCTAAAGGCATGTCTTTCAGCTCTTCAGCCAAGCAAGAAAAACAACCAGTTGTTGAACCAGAGGAGTTAATGACCAAAGACATAGAACGCACTGACAGTTGGGAACGTGCTGAAAGAGAAAGGGACATACGCCAAGGGATGGATCTAGCAACAACATTGGAACGTATTGAAAAGAATTTTGTGATCACAGATCCTAGACTCCCTGATAATCCCATTGTAAGGAAGAGTTTTCATTATTATGTTTCTCACCAACTTAATTTTAATTCAGAAGACAAATCTCTAGTTAGTCTATTTTCATGTAAACCACATAGAGAACATAATTTTTACACTAACAGTCACTGATCACTGCTTTTTTCTTAGAAAAAAATTCCATTCTGCCAAATTATCTAGTGTATCTTGCATGTCAGAGCCTGTTTTGAAATTGTACTAGCTTTCTGGCATGGATTATATCTGAAAAATCAGTATAAATGTTCAAATGTATTCAGATATTTGCATCTGATAGCTTTCTTGAATTAACGGAATATACACGTGAGGAAATCTTGGGAAGGAACTGTAGGTATGTAGTTTGAACTACTTTAATTTAAATATCTAACTATTTCAATCAACTTTCCAATGGTGTTTTCCATCCGTATGTTATATGAGCCATATAAAACCAGCATAGCATTTTTTTCACAGGTTTCTTCAAGGACCAGAAACCGATCAAGCAACTGTGTCAAAGATAAGAGATGCTATTAGAGAACAGAGAGAAGTCACTGTTCAGTTGATCAACTACACAAAAAGCGGTTCGTTAAAAAAGAAAAAAAGAAAAAAAAAAGAACATGCATGCTGACAGAAACATTATTTCACTGAATTGTTGCAATTTTATGACTTGCAGGCAAGAAATTCTGGAATTTATTTCACCTGCAACCTATGCGTGACCAAAAGGTGGTTAAAGTACCTTATGCAGAAACATTTAAAGTGATTATCCTGCACATACTGTTTTGAACTCCTCTCATTAATTCCTTGTGATTTTACAGGGTGAGCTCCAATATTTCATTGGCGTCCAACTTGATGGAAGTGATCATGTTGAACCCCTACGAAACCGCGTCTCTAAGAAAACGGAGCAACGAAGTGTTAAGTTGGTCTGTAATCTTTCTCTTCTTCTAATTATATATGGAGCAAAAACTGCAAGTCAAGTTGCGTTGTTTTAACTTCAGGTCATTTGATGTGTTGACATCTTTTTTAATCAGGTCAAAGCCACAGCAGAAAATGTTGATGAAGCTGTTCGAGAACTTCCTGATGCCAATTTGGTAAGGTATTCTTTCTTTCTCTTAGAATTATTGATAGCAATATCTTAATCATTGATGCAAAAGATAATGTATCTGTTCTTCCCTTTGCATTGAGAACTCTATACCTGAACATTGTTAATGTTGTTTCAAGTTGCATGGACTTTCTAACGTTATACTAAAAGCTGCTACAGTTGCCAATAGTGGTGCGGTTCGTTGGTAGAATGTTGGATCTTAACTCCATTTATCAGGATTCAAATCCTAACAGTTTCGATTATTAAAAAAAAAGGCTAGTTAAGAATTCATTTGTTTTATACTATTCTACCATAAAACTTACGAGAAGTTTGATTTCTGATCAGAGAAAAGAGAAACCTTATGTGCGGCATCTCATGAATGCATATAACCATCTTTACAATTTTGAATTTCACTTAAATACGCAACTTATGATTTAATTTGAAAACAAATAGCTTACGTTAATAATGATATGGGTCATCCAAAATTTGACTTAATGTTCCAACTATCCATTTTCAGTGCTTGACCAAAGCATCATATATAGTTGCCGATTCCTAGGAGTCATTTGATATTAGCTGATGTGACTTTTATATTGCCAAAACATTCAGAGACCAGAAGATTTGTGGGCACTCCATTCTCAGCCTGTCTTTCCACGACCTCACAAAAGAGATAATTCTTCTTGGCTAGCAATTCAGACGGTACAGTTTTCTAGCAGGTTCTGATAATGATATTCTCTATGTATATAGTTTGTTTTCTAGCAGGCTCTGATGATGCATGCCCCTCGTTGCTCTCCTCCTTTCCCTCTCCCTCTCTTTTTCTAATTATCCTTTTGGGCTTGTTATAGATTACTTTCCGTGGTGAAAAAATCGGTCTCCATCATTTTAAGCCCATAAAACCCTTGGGCTGTGGTGATACTGGCAGGTACTGCTCTTTCCTATTTGTTTGGACGCTCCCTCCTGTTAAAGTAGATTGTTCCAACACACCAAATGTTCTGTCGATATAACCACCGTCGTCAGTCAAGTGCATGTTTGAACTCATTGATATGCTGAGAAACCAACTCGTGCTTCTATTACTTTTCATGAATGGTTTTCAGCTGCTAATTTATTGCTTCTTTAATGCTTCTGAAACTGTTTAGAAATGCTTCCCCTAGCCAATGCAGATGGAGTTAAACCCCTTAATCATTATGATATGAATTCTTAGTTCTTTTACATATCTAAATTATTGGAGTATTTCTTGCAGTGTTCATCTGGTGGAACTGAAAGGTACAGGAGAATTATTTGCTATGAAGGCAATGGAGAAATCAGTAATGTTGAATCGTAACAAGGTCTGCTTATTGCTCTAATTGTTGTGCTCAAAATGCATTTTCTATTTGATGTGATTTTTATTCGACCTATGAATTGCTACATGCATGCCTAATAACTTATGCATCTCTTCTGTTTAAATTATGGATAATGTATCTGAATGTTCATATAAGCATTTGCACTTGTGATGGATTTTGTCTGATACAGACAATATTTTTGAGTCCAATAACGTTTTTAAAATTTTAAAATTATAAGTACATTTGAGTGGGTGCCTGACTTAGCTCCTTTTACAGGTTCATCGAGCATGCGTTGAAAGGGAAATCATCTCACTCCTGGATCATCCTTTCCTTCCCTCATTGTACTCTTCTTTTCAGGTTTTCTCATTTTCATTCCTTGTTCCTTCAACAATTTTACAAGTTTTCAGGATACCTAAGTGCGTAAATAGGGATCGTCAGCTTATGTACAATTGATTGATGTCACTGCTATTGCATTATAGTTGTGATCTATATGTTCATATTACCCATTTTATGACGTGTCATGCTATTAATTATGTTATTTAACATGCTAAATTGATGCTAGTATCAAAGACATTTTTTTCTAGTTTGAGACCTTGAGTTAATTTGCTGAATAAATTGAAGTTGTACTAATGTTTTCTTATCTCCTCAGACTCCCACACATGTTTGTTTGATAACAGACTTTTGCCATGGTGGAGAGTTATTTGCCCTGCTTGATCAGCAGCCTATTAAAATTTTCAAAGAAGAATCTGCAAGGTACACCTATTCATTGCCTAATAATAGAATAAACGTAAATTAGATTCTTTCTAGTTGAAAAACCTGGATCTCTGATTGTAAAACATAATTACCACTTAAAAGTGAGTACCGTGAAATGCATTTGGATGACATGGTTATAGAATTTGATCACTTTACGCTATACTGAGTTTCGTTCAGGAATTTTTTTAATTTCTGAACTATTTATTAAAAAGGCAGATTGACTCCCAGTGTATTCCAAGTTTATTTTTCTTTTCAGTTTATGACTGAATTACTGAAATGTCTAATTATCATTGTGATATCTGGACTTTTCTTGTGCATGCAGTTCTTACAACTGTGTTATCGCTTTGCTTTTCCAGGTTCTATGCAGCAGAGATTGTCATTGGTTTGGAGTATCTTCATTGTCTAGGTAACTTGACAAACTCGGAACAACTACATTTGTCAATATTATTTTCATCATTTGCTTAGATTTAGGCATCTGTGATCTAATTCAATGCAATATGGTGCAGCAAGCTTTAGTGATTTATGAGATTTAATCAGAAAAATTAGCAAGAAATGTATCTTCAGCTTTTCTACTCACTATGCTTTCATTTTTTATGGTTTACAACAGGAATAATATATCGAGACCTGAAGCCGGAAAACATCCTACTCCAGAAGGATGGTCACGTTGTATTAACCGACTTTGATTTATCATTCATGACTTCCTGTAAACCCCAAGTAGGTGAATTTTTGTTTCAACACTTGATTAGATGGTTTATTTGATAACTAATGATAGTTTTGCATGAGATTAAAGTTTATATCGATTTACAGGTTTTAAAGTATCCCTCGCCTAACAAGAGGAGGAAATCAAGGAGTCAGCCACCTCCAACATTTGTTGCAGAACCAGTTACACAGTCAAATTCATTTGTTGGAACTGAAGAATACATTGCTCCGGTACGATGATTCTATTCATGCTTAATGTTAATAAATTTAACTCAATTTATTATAGATGCAACAAAATGATGTTTCCTTCCTGTTTCTGTTTAACATACTTATATTTTACTTGGTTTCAGGAAATTATTACAGGTGCAGGACACAGTAGTGCAATTGATTGGTGGGCTCTCGGTAAGTAGATGGTGAAACTGAAGATATAATATTCTTCAACTTTTTTCTTAATTTGCAATGACATTTATCTGAGTAATAATTCCTTCTTGTTAATGTTCTGTTAAACATGACTTACATGGATTTATATTTGGAATCTAGGTATTTTGCTGTACGAGATGCTTTATGGCCGTACGCCTTTCAGGGGTAAAAACAGGCAGAAGACGTTCTCCAACATCTTGCACAGAGACCTCACCTTCCCAAGTAGCATTCCGGTATATTTCTAACCCATCAACTATGCAAATATAGCAGAAGATGACATAACTTTTTCACCATTTGTTTCAAGTTCATTCATTCTAATTATCCTGGTCAATTTCGTAAGTATCAAATTCCACCCTACACAATTGCCGAACATGGTCTTAATTGTGAGATTTACATCCAACTCGCATCATCTACTTTTACCATAAAGTCTCACAATTTTATATCACAAAAAGTATCGTATAAGTATGAGTTTAAGTTTCTACATATATATCATAACAAATTCATAAAATATCTTGATGTGAGATTAGGGTGCCTCAATTTTAAGATATGTACTTTAAACTACAGTATCTACTTCATGCGATTTAAGTATTTAAATTCTATTTCTAGCTGCTGAACTGAACACGTAGCTACTTGTTTACTTGATAATGCAGGTTAGTCTTGCAGCTAGGCAGTTGATCAATGCATTGTTGAACCGAGACCCTGCCAACCGTTTAGGGTCGGGTAGAGGTGCCAATGAAATCAAACAACACCCTTTCTTTCGTGGCATCAATTGGCCTCTCATACGGTGCACGGTAATATAAATTCCAGTTGTACTAATGGGAGAGAAAATATCCTTGCTTTTAATTTTTGTAAGCTACTTTGTTGCTGCTTCTTCTGTAACGTTATATGGATTAATATTTTACTTGCAGAGCCCACCGCCATTGGAGGTACCTCTTCAATTAATCTTGAAAGATAGCAGCACCAAAGATGTAAGTTGGGAAGATGATGGAGTGCTGGTTAATTCTATTGACATGGATATTTTCTAAAGGTTCGTATAAACAGTTTCAGCATTGTGGAATGCAGCAATCTTCACTGTAGATTCACTTCATTTGCTTGCAATACTTCTTCAGAGTGGATGATGAGCTGTATATTCTACTCTACTCATTAATATTCATGGACAAAGCAGGTATACACATAAAACGGGGCATTGCGGTACATCAACAGACAAGATGCTTCCAAAGTGCCACTCAAACATGAAACTGGCTTGGTGGCTGCACAAATAGGCTTTTGGGTGAGGTTGATCGGAGGACAACCCAGTTTGGGAGAAAAACCTCAACTCAAGCAGTTAGGTGAAGGATAGATGCCCCTATCATGAACAAAGTTACGTGGAGCCCCCGTGGTGTAGGCATGAGTTTGAGTCGATATAAAAGTGTTACTATGTTTAGATTAATGAAAAAGAGATATTTTAATCTAATTATACTTAAAGCGTCAGGACAATTTAAACACGATTTATTATAATATCATAATATGATAAAAAAATTATACGAAAATAATATAATTTAAAATTTATAATATATATTTATAGTCATATAATAATAAAATATATAAAAATAATATGATTTAAAATTTATAATATATATTATAATTATATAGAAATACTATTTGTCACGTGTCGATTTTTTTATATTTTTAATATTTTGTTATTAATTAATTTTTTTCAAGTGGTCATCACTTTATATGGGATTCTTTTTTTTTTTTTTCATTTTTCTTGTTTTTGTGTTTTTTTAAATATTAAATTAATTTTAATATTTTCAAGTGAGGCCCATAATTTTTTTTTGTGGGGGACTTTTTTTGCGTTTTTTGCTTTTTTTTTATATTTTATATTTTCTGCTTTTTAATTTTTTAAATATATAATATTATTAAATTAATTTTATTACTTTCAAGTTGGATCTATTACCAATTTTTCGTGGGATCCATATTTTCCCTTTTTTTTCTGTTTTTAACTCTTTTTGATATTTTATTTTTGCTTTTTAAATTCTTTAAATATATAATATTATAAATTTTTTTTGGGGCCCACTATTTTTAAATGGTAGGATATATTTTTTAATAAGATTTTTTATCATTTTATTTTTATTTTATTTTTACTTTTTATATATTTATTATTTCAAAATATATATTTTTTTTGGGACTCATTTTTTAATAAGGTTCAATTTTTGAATTTTTATATATTTTATTATTTTTTGATTCAATGGAGACTGATTTTTTCTATAAATCCATTTTTTATAGGATCTATTTTTTAAAAATTTTTGAGCCTTTTTTATGATTTTTTTAATTTTTTTTACTATTTTAATATATTTTATGTTTCATTTTAATGGAGTCCACAATTTTCTTTTAGATATTTTTTTGTTTTTTTTCTTTTTTTAATTTATATTTTTTTTAAATGTGAAACCTACTTGTCTATTATATTTTTTGTGACTCATTTTTATCATTGTCTTTCTTCGGTATTTCATTTGGCATTACATTTTTTTTATTTTTTTGCTTATTTAATATTTAATAAAAAAATTTTGACCCAATTGATATCAATTTTTTTCCTTTTTAAAAAACTTTTTTTTTATATTTTATTTTTTTGTTACTAATGGGATGTCACATGTTAAACTAATTAACCCCTGAATAAACTTAGATAACTTTTAAAGTAAACCCTGTACAAAAAACAAAAAATAAAAATAAAACATCTCAAAAAAATTATTAAAATTCAACAAATACAAATTAAGTCTTATATCATTTAATTATTAAGTAAGCTATATGAAAAGTCAAAAAGGAAACATGTTGGATCATAATTTTAAATCTTTTTGCACTATTTATTTTCATCAACAATAGCCTTTTCAATTACTTTTTAACTCTTATATTATTTTTTATTACTTACATACACATCGTGATTTATCTCTAAAAATTTTAATCTCTTTTAAATTTAAAAATTCATTTCTCTTAATTGGTACACAAATAGACTTATATTTTATATATCCAAATTATTCCAAACAGTCCTTTTTCTTCTTCTCAATGTAGATTACCCTTAATATTTCTTGAATCTATTCATTTTAATTTTATCTCTTATAATTTTATCACATATTCATCTAAATATTTATCTCAATTAAATTCAATTCTATGTAACAATGCAAACTTTACAATTTTATACAACTTTGTTTTTAATTTTAAATACATATTACGATAACATAATACACCTGATATATTTTTTATTAATATAAAAAATAAAAAGTGAATTAAAATAAAAACAAAATATATATAAATCCATTATATAAATTTTGCTAAAAAAAGAATTATTATTGCTTATGTTGCGTGGCAACTTAACTTTCTTTTTTTTTTTTTTTCATCTTTTCTTTTTACTTTTTCTAATTTTTTTGCTTCCATCCATTTTTTTAGATGCTTTTTAAAAAAAAAAAAAAAAACCAACGAATGTGTAAAAGTTACAATCTATTTCTTTTTTTTTTTTTTTTGCCTTCATTATTTGTTTTAATAAGATAATTTATAACAAAAGAAATCAGTAAAATTTCTTTTCTAAAAAAAGTTAACTTTAAGTATGGCCAACAAAATAACTTGAATTTGATGAATTTTGATTTGTCAAAATTCAATAAGTGCATTTTTTTTATTTGAGATCGAATTAATGTTTTTTTTCTTAAATCAAAGTCGAGTTGGAAGTGAAGTTATAATTATTTATTTTGCTTCAATTATATATAATAAATTATATTTTATATTATTTTTAAATTTTGATATTTATATATGTACTATATTAATAAAATTATTATTTAATATTTTAATTTAAAAAACATATCATATTTATATATAATTAAGATATAATCCATTTATCCATTTACTCTATAAATTTTACTTATTTTTATTTTTTTTTTACTTTCATTTAATGAGTCAACATACAACCTTTTTTTTTAATTTCTTTTTTTAAATTTATGTTTTTTATTTATATAAATTTTGTAAAAAAATGTAGGTATTCACGTGACATCCAATTTTTTTTTTTACCCTTTTACCTCTTTGTTTTTTAATTAAATAAATTTTATAACAAAAAAATTATATAAAAATATCAAAACAATTTATATCTAATAAATTCTCACTCAAATGAAATGTCGACATAGTATCTTAATAAACTTTATTTTCTGTTTTCTTTTTATGTTTTTCATTCTTTCCCTTTTCCTTTTTTTATTAAAAAAATCAATCAAAGGTGTTCACGTGCGCCCATCTGCCTTTCATTCCATTTCAATCTTTTATTTTATTTTATTAATTTGATTAATTCTACAACGAAAAGGCATCAATTAATTGATGTGGCAAATAATTTATATCCGAGATTGATTTTGATCTATCTCGATATGATAAAATTGATTTTTTAAAACCAGGATTAAGTTGAAAAATGTTAACATTTTTGAAGAGAAAAGATAATATTAATTCAGAAGTATGTTTATGATATTTTGTTTCAATTAATTTTGAGATATATATTAATATATATATTTATAATTAATTGAATTTTAGACTTATATGTACTATATTTTTAAAATTTTAATTTAAGAAATTAATAATTTATGTTAATATAAGGTGTCAATGTAACACTCTCCATAAACTCTTTTTTTTTTAATTTTTTAATTTTTTTCAATTTTTTTTCCAATTTTTTCAATTTTTTTTGTTCTTTTAGTTTTAAAATTTAAAAATTTTAATTACATAAATTTTACAAGCAAAAGAAACCAGTTAAGATATTCTTATTTGAATTTGTTGTCATTATTGTTTTAATTTTTTTTAGATTTTCAATCAAATAACTAAATATAGATGACAAAACAATAAAATTTTAACCTGCAGCAATACGCGAATATACTTTCTGTTTTAATTAAAACTGTATAAATTTTTTTGACAAAAATAAAAAAATATACATTTTGTATTTAACATGTCAACATTAATTATGATATAATAATTTTCTTATTTCATATGTATTAAACATGAAATAAATAAATATGAATATATGAATTACCAAACCTACCTCATATGGTTAAATATGGACTCGGCCACGGCACAGGGCCAATGCATCATTTTAATATTCCTCTGGGCTGATGCCAGTAAAAGACAACAATGAAAATATCAAATTCAAAATGAACAAAATCAACAAGGACTGAGGACTGTAGCCACCAAACTCACGCTTGAAACCCAAATATATGACCATATACATAGGATAATATGTGTGATATGAAAAGCTGTCAATTCTACAAAATCTTTCAGATCTACCTACATTCATAACATACAATTCAGTTCTCAAAATGAAATTCAAAATGAATTTAGTACAGATGATACTCCAAAATCAACCCAAGACAAATGGCAATCACTCGTCATAACCTACTTCGTGGCCTGTGCAATTATATTGCTAATGGAACTGGCCTGCTCTTTTGCGGTCTCCACCAGTGAATCCTACAACTCAATAAAACAATTCGCTCAGAAAATTGGAAATTTCTACAAACCAAGACGTTTTGGCAGTGAAAAAAAATCTACCTGTGCAGCTATTAATCGTGCAACAGTTTTCTTGCTCGACTCTTGAAGTTCACCAGCAATCAATATTTCATCCAATATGTAGTAGGCCTTAATGTTAAACAAAAGCACAGTATTTCATTTTTAGGAAAATGAGGAAATTAAAAAAAAAAAAAGGGCCTTTTCTCAGAGATATCAAACTTTGCAATTCTCCATGGAAGCAGCCAGCCAATAAATATCTCAACCACATAACTCCATTCCTCAACCACAAGGTTAATGCCACCATCCCCCTTTTTTGGGATTTATTAGAAAAGTGGAAGAAAAATCATGGAGCCATACAGGAAGAAAATGCACTTGAATTTCAGAGAGATGCAAGGTAGGTGCTTCTTAAGGATACTTGAGACTGGAGAACATCAAGAGATACTACTCCAGTATGGGAGCATGTATGGAGAGTTTAAAGTTTATGATTTAAAGAAACAAAGGAAAGGAGGATACGGATGGGTATGCTAAGGGCTGAGAAGAATGGAAGGGTAATGGAGTGAGATAGTAAGTGCCGCTAAAGATTACATGAATAAGAGAGCACAATTTCAACATAAACTCAAGTGGTTATTTGTAAATTGCTGCGAAAGAAAATCTTTTGAGGCACATGACATGACAGCAAAATAAACACACCTTATGAAAGTTGAAGATCAAGTCCAATTCACAGACCTGGACATGAATTAATTCACAATCAGGTTAAATATAGTGGTGCCATTAACGCTCCAGCGAATGGTTAAGTTTAAGTTCACTCACACTGCCAAAGTATCGGTCAAGAATCTCAACATAGTGATGAATAATTTCTAGAATCTCCAATTCATTGTCATCCTGGTCAATGCACATGCAGAAGTAAAGACTAGCATATCTGCATAATTTATCCCAACTTAGTTGATAATCTCATAAGTAGTTAAATAGATTCATAGTAAAACAAGACTCACTGACATATTGGAGCATTACCTTTTATAAACGACTTTAAATCCTCTCCATTCCACAAAATTACAGAGTTTGGGCCCTCTTGTGAGAATCACTCCACTGAGCTCGCGGATAACCTTAAAAAAAGGCATTGCCAAAATGCATTAATACAAATAACACAACACCAGCTTCAAAAATGAATCAACAAAGTACTAAAGGCTAACAGCTGACAAAGAATGAACCAGAATCATATAATTACAATGACTTTATCCTTTAAGCTGCAAACTTTGCATAAATAATTAAAGAAATTAATCAAATGTGCTAGTCGTACCTTTGTTCTTTCCTTCTGAGTATAAGTAGAATACCATTTTGTCAACCTAACTTTCCCTTGCCGACTAATTAGAAGCACAAAGTGAATCTGAAAGACAAAAAGGCTCATAGATTACAGATAGAAGCAACGCAACAACCTAAAGCTGAAGCTTAATTTTAAGTTTCTAAAGTAAAATGAAACAATTATAACGAAATAATACTAGAAGAATATATATCTGCTAAAAAAAAAAAAACACGGATTTGAGATTGGAAAGCAACATCTATTGCAAACCTTAAACTCGTGATTGAACTAAAGAAATGAGGCCATGAATAAGGTTTCCTCACTACACAAAAAGAATTTACTAGCCGCCTACTCTATATCTATAAAGATAGACGGATTTTGCCTGCCACTCTACCGAGCTAACCAGGGCGGATGAGCATCTAAGAAACGATTCAACAAGGTGTACTTTGTGAAGCAGCTATCGGATTTAAGAGCACCTTGTTAACACCTAGCCTATTACCTTTACTTAACAACACTGCTTCTCCTTCCCCTCTTTCATGTGATAGCAAGAAGGAAAAAGAAGGAAATCTAACTCATTTTAAGGTAGAGCTCTTATATTTATCACTGTGATAATCAGATCCCAAAATGAATACAAATTCACTTTTTGCTAGCACTATGAGAACCAGGAGTCACCCTATATAATGTGTAGCTTTTACTAAAATTAACATAAAAGCCTTGAAGTCCTAGTGGATCTTCAAGAAATCTTACATTCAAGCACCTAATGTAATCTATATGAATTTCTAGTTCCTAGACGGCATTCGAATTAGTAACTTCTAGCTTTGATCATCCTCTTAGCCTGTGTCTCCATGGTCAATTTTTTCAACACTTAATGTATACATCATGACATTTCCCTTATATCAACAGTAACCTCATCCCCACAATTACTAAAAAAAAAAAAGCAAATTGATATCAATATGTGTAACAAGTTAATGCCTCGTGGAAATCATTATTACAATCGCAAAACAGAAAATTTTCACAGAAATCACTAGAACTAACGACTAAATAGTCAAACTTGAACATTCCAAAGTAACCATTAAACAGAGATGTTTAAGTAGGATCAGATATGATTAGAAATCAAAACAAATTTCAAACCAAATTAGCTGAAATAAGGAAATAAGTTGTACCATTATTAATAATAAATCAGAAGAACTACCAAAATGAAGCAACTACAGTGAACTATACGAGTCGATAAACTAACAATCAAAAAAAAAAAAAAAGTTAGAAGCAAGTCGGAGATCCAAGGGGAAAGGAGAAGGCGCAAATATTAGATTCAATCAACTAGGTTATGAAGGGGAATTTCAAGATCACCAAAGAAAAATTAATAATAAAATTCATGAACCGCCGAATCATGCATCTAAACAGTGCGAAGAAGCAGGAAAAGCAGATCCATGCTTTGGATGAGAAAATGAGGACGACATACGATTCATTCACCAAGTAATTATAATAACACGAACAAAATATGAGAAGGGGGAGTCAGTTACCATCGTTGATTTTGGCCGGCCGAGAAATCAAAATAAAAATCAGGGCGGCTGTCCTAAAGCTCAGAAACCGGTATCTTGATTCGGATTTCCGCCGCTGCTACGATTTTATAGCTATTTGAACAATTTAATTCCTGCATTAAAAAAAAAAAAAAGAAATAATTTAATCCCAAGTGGGTGGGGCATAGATCATGACCCATCCCAAAATTACAAGCGCCGGATAGCCCAAATTTTCCTAGTGGCAACTGACGAAGGATAAAATAGGGTTTTCCTTTTGACAAATAGTAATGCTCGCATGGCATGCACATGCACCATTGATCACGGATACATTTAAAAAAAAAAAAAAAAAAAAAGGAAAAGCCTAAAATCGAAAGGTAGAAAATGGTTTACCTAAAATCATATTAAAATTTCATGATAACTTTTGCAAAACCTAAACTCGTGGGATGAAAGCTTCAATCTAAAATAACTTTGAAGATAATATGTCATAGTTTTATATGATTCTACTAAAATATATTGATCAAATCTCACCTTTAAATAGACATAAGTATTGAATAGTTATTAGAGGGATTTTAAATACATTATACTTTTTGCTTTTTACATTTTTCATTTAAAAAAAATTTGTAAATAAAATTATTTAATTACTTTTTTTATAATTTTTCTAATATCTATGTATGATAAATTTTATAACTTATCAAAAATGAATTTTTAAAAAATTATAAAATTTAACATAAATTTATTTCTTTAAAGAGAAGTTATAAAATTTTAAAGAAAATTATAAAATAAGATTTTATTAAAGATTTTTATTAATTGATAAAATAAAAAATAATTATTGAAAAATAATAAAATTTAAAGTTAATAAAAAGTAAGTTGATTTTATTATTTTGACCTTAAAGAAAAGATAAAATCTTATGAGGTCTATTTAAATATTTCATCTCTTGATATTAAAAAAAATGATAAAAAAAATCAAGTTTAATTTACATCTAAAAGTTGAAAATTCCTTAAAACTATGTAAATAATATTACTGAATATTACATAATTTTATCAAAATTTAATATGTTAATTAAAAATATTTATCCTAATAGGTAGATAGAGAGATTTTTTCAAAGAGTTTAATTTAGTTATACCTATTATAAAATTTTAATAATTGATAAAAAATTATTTATTAAAAAAATAATGAATTTTAATTTTATAAAAAATTACATTTACTATTTTATTCTTAGTTTATTTATGATCTCATAAGATTTTATTTCTAATGTCAAAATAGTAAATTTAATTTTTTTATTAATTTTAAATTTTATTGTTTTTTCAATAATAATTTTTTATTATACTAATTAATAAAATTTTTTAATAAATTTTTTTATAATTTTTTTAAAATTTTAAATTTTAAATTTTTGAAAATTCATAAATTCATTTCCATTAAAATATAAAACTTACTGAAAATTAATATTCTGTAAGTGAAATTACTTACAAGAAATTTTTTATAAAAAATTGAGGTTTAAAGAGAAAAAATAAGATGCATTTAGCAGCTCCCTAGTTATTATCCCAAAAACAAATGAAGATATCACTTCTCAAAAAGAAAAAAAAGGAAGCTATGCAGACGATCGGTGAAAGGAGCCGACGGCCATGGGCAGAAGCGTTTTAAATAGATGTGCAGTTTTACAAACTCAGGCTGAAGCGTTTGTGTATGCTTATAAAAACCAACGGTCGACTTGTTATGGGGGCAACAGAAACAGTAACACCCACAGAGAGTTGGTTTGTAATCCCTACTGCTAGCCTAGGTTTGACAATCTTTCTATATTAAGACCGACCAAATCACGAAGATCTTATTGGGCATTGAAAAAGGTTTGGATGAACAAAGCATTCAGGTCGGAGGTGGTTGCATCTTGGATCTTGAGTGCCAACAAGGCAGATGGATTGCACTGCAATTAGACAATAGTTCTTCAAGCTGTGGCTCTTCCAAGGTAGACATACAGCACCCAAATGCCAAGGCTCCTGAGAGATTACCATTCATTCCGAGGTCCACATATAGACCAGGGCAACGGATAAATCAGTTTGATTCAAAACAGCCATCGCTAATATATGTCAATTTCAGTTTATAAGAAACGACAAAGGTTAAAATAGCATTCAACGATGCCTGCTAATGATAAAATGCCTACACTACTGCCTTTGCTTTGTCTGCTTGATGGAACCCACTAATATTACTATCCACATCAACTTGTTTGACTAGCTACTGCAATTCCATCTCCTTTCTTTCCAGAGATTGCTTCCACCACCACAAAAAAGCCTTGTCATTCTCTTCTAAATCATCACTCCATATTGTTTACATCTGCTAATAGCTAAGCCATATTCCCTGGCCTGCTACCTCTACCATAGCCCTCATTTTGTCATCCTACCAAAAATACCTTAATATTATTGTATACTTGTAGCTATTTGTTATTCAACAACACGGAATAATATGAGAAAATTAGTTTATCTAAACTTACTAAAGATATTATGAAATGCCAATTTGAAGTCTGAAGAAACTATAATACAAATTAAGACATCACTTCACCGAGACTGACATAAAATATTACTATGTCTTTATACAGTTTGTTAAAGCAGGAACTTGTGACAAGAAACTTCCCTTTAATTGGATTAACACTTGTAAAACAGTAGTAGCTGCTTATGCAGGTATCAGTGCTATTGTACAGGTTCAGGGACCGAAAGTATTGGGACCTACATTTCTAATTGAATGCATATCTTAAACACAATTCCAAAGTGAATGGCCAAACTTAGGCATTCTTATCTTAATCGTTGGATCAACTGATATGAAATGCAATATCTGCACATAGATTTTCAATTGAAGTGAATTTGACAAACTGTATGATTGCCCATGTTGTTTTTCAGGAACAGGAGAGTGCTTATGTCACGGGCTCCGACCTTAGACTCAGAATCCGTGCGGCCTTAGGCTTGGAATCTCATCCTTGATGCCTAAGTCAGCCTAAAACACAAGCGTGCGGGCACTAGAACAAAGGGAAGGGCTGATTACGCAAGTTAAAGAGAAACAGGACAGGAAAACAGAATTTTGGAAATGCTTTTGTATTCACTGAAACAGAAGTGTTTGATGGTGTACAAATGAGGGTGGAGCAACCCTCTATTTATAGTTGAGGCTCCAGCTACAACTTAATGGCAAATCCCTAAAATAAAGGCTATAATCATGGGATTACATTTAATCAAGATGCTGGTTCCTGATTTTCAGGGTCAACCAAATCTGCCAGGATGCTGATGCTGATCCTGCCTGGTTCCAGAAGCTTCCCTTGCGTATCCAGCACCTCGGGCCCTTCTGGATGTGGTGTGGGCAGCCCAAATGCCAGGCCTTGGTCTCATGAGTTGGCCTGCAAGATGGGCGGGCGTTTGGAGCTCGTTTGATAGGCTTTGCGCACTGATACCCGCCAGCACGCCTGGTCTGCGGGCCTCAGCTTCTGGCTCGCCTGCTGGTCTGCCTGATGTGCCTGGCGCGCCCGCCCAGGGCGTGACATTCTCCCCCACCTGATTGCGCAACGCCCTCGTTGCGTCTTCTGCATGGTACTGCCTGATCTGGTCCCCGAACTGCCATAAGTCCTCTGCTGGTTCCCAGCTTGCCTCACTGTCTGGAAGTCCCTTCCAGCGCACCAAGTACTCATGTCTTGGTTGATAGTTCTTCCGTCTCACCTCCCGGTCAGCCATAATGCTGTGGACCTCCTTCTCATATGAGGCCCTTGCTCCCAATGGTGCACGCTTTGACTCTGCCCGTCCTGGATCTCCCTCATCCTCATGGAACGGCTTGAGCATGCTCACATGGAACACCGGGTGTACCCTCGGCTTGGGTGGCATATCCAGCTTGTAGGCAACCTTGCCTACCCTCTTGACTACTCGGAAAGGTCCCTCATACCTCCGGACTAGGCCTTTGTGCAGCCCCCTGTGGCGCACAATGGGATGCAGCTTCACCAACACCAAGTCTCCAACCTGGAATTGCACATCCCGCCCCTTCTGGTCTGCCCACTTCTTCGACCTCTTGCCCGCCTTGTGTAGACAAACTCTGGCCAAGTCAGCTTGCTCCTGCCATGCCTTGGCAAACTTGTATGCTGCTGGATTCGGCCCTGTATAACCTGCAGCAATCGAACCGGGTGTTAGTGGTTGTTGCCCTGTCACAACCTCAAATGGGCTCTGGTTCGTTGCCTCGCTCTTTTGCAAGTTGTAGGAAAACTGCGCAATATCCAGTAGCTTTGGCCAGTCCCTTTGTGTGGCACTCACATAGTGCCTGAGGTAGACCTCCAGTAGTCCGTTCACACGTTCTGTCTGCCCATCGGTCTGCGGATGCATGCTGGTGGAAAAGTTCAAGTCTGACCCCAACAGCTTGAACAACTCAGTCCAGAACCTGCCCGTGAAACGCCCGTCCCGATCACTAACAATGGTCCTCGGCACTCCCCAGTACTTCACCATGTTCTTCAGGAACAATCGAGCTGCCTCCTCGGCTGGGCACTCCTTGGTTGCTGGAATGAAGATTCCATACTTGGAAAACCTGTCCACCACTACCATGATGCTTCCAAACCCCTCTGTCTTGGGTAGACCGACTATAAAGTCCAGAGAAACACTCTCCCATGGTCGCTCTGGCACTGGCAATGGCTCCAAGAGACCCCCTGGTTTCTTGAGCTCCACCTTGTCCTGTTGGCACACAAGACAAGTCTTCACATAGGCCTCCACATCGTCCCTCATGTGCGGCCAGTAGTACCGATCCTCGATCAGCGCCAAGGTGCGGCTCACTCCTGGGTGTCCAGCCCACCTTGAATCATGACACTCTTGCAAAACTTCCTTGCGGAGCTTCCCGTGCTGCGGCACAAACAGTCTACTGCCCCTGGTGTACAGCAAATCATCCTGCAACCAAAATCGCCTAGTCTTACCTTGCTGGGCGTACTCCATCAAAGCCTTGGCTGTAGGATCATGCGCAAGTCCCTCCTTGATGCGCGACACCAGTGAACCCTCTGGTTGGCTAATGGCAGCAAGGTTAGCCTTCCTGCTCAGGGCGTCTGCCACTAGGTTCGCCCGTCCTGGCTTGTACTCCATCTGGAAATCAAATTCTGCAAGAAAATCTTGCCATCTCGCCTGCTTGGGGGACAGCTTCTTCTGCGTCTGGAAGTAGCTGGTCGCCACATTGTCCGTCCTCACCATGAACCTCGACCCCAACAGGTAATGGCGCCAAGTGCGCAAGCAGTGCACCACTGCAGTCATCTCCTTCTCTTGGACCGTGTACTTACGTTCAGTCTCGTTCAGCTTCCTGCTCTCAAACGCGACTGGACGTCCCTCTTGCATCAACACGCCCCCTATGGCAAAGTCTGATGCGTCCGTATGCACCTCATACGGCTTGGCATGGTCTGGCAAGGCCAAGACTGGCTCCTCGGTCACAGCCCGCTTCAACCTATCAAAGGCTTCCTGGCACCCTGCACTCCACTCCCATGCTCTCCCTTTCTTGAGCAAGTCAGTCAATGGCGTGGCTATTGCTGAGTGACCCTTGATGAAGCGCCTGTACTAGTTAACCAGCCCAAGGAACGATCTCAACTCAGTGACCTTGGCTGGCGGTTGCCACTCCAGGATGGCGTCTATCTTGCCTTCATCCATGCGTATCCTGCCACCTCCCACTATGTGGCCAAGGAATGGGATCTCCTACTGGGCGAATGACCACTTCTCCCTCTTGACAAACAGCTTGTGCGCCCGCAACACCTCGAACACCTGTCTCAAGTGGTCTACATGCTCTTCCAAAGTCTGACTGTAGATCACAATGTCATCCAAATAAACCACAACAAACCGATCAAGGAATGACTGAAGTACCTTGTTCATAAGGGTGCAGAATGTTGCTGGGGCATTCGTGAGTCCGAAAGGCATCACCAAGAACTCATACGAACCATACCGAGTGACACATGCTGTCTTTTGCTCATCTCCCTCCGCGATCCTGACTTGATAATAGCCTAACCTCAAATCCAGCTTGGTGAACCACCTTGCGCTCCCAAGTTGATCGAACAAGTCCGCAATGAGTGGGATGAGGTACTTGTTCTTGATGGTCAGCTTGTTCAAAGCCCGGTAGTCTATGCACAGCCGCAACGACCCATCATGCTTGCGCTGGAATAGAACCGGTGCACCATAGGGTGCTTTCGATGGCCTGATGAAGCCAGCATCAACTAACTCTTTGAGCTGCTTCCTCAACTCCTCCAACTCTGGTGGAGACATTCGGTAAGGGGCTCTGGCTGGTGGCTTGGCCTCGGACACCAGCTCGATCTTGTGGTCCACCTCCCTCTTAGGTGGTAGCTTGCTAGGCAGCTTTGCGGGCATCACATCACTAAAGGTCTTCAGCACCTTTAGCACCTCCAAGGGTGACTCGGTCTCCTTCTCCCTTGGCTCATCATATTTCAAGGCTGCCAAGAAGGTGTCTTCTTGTCTGCTTACCGCCTTGGCAAATTGGATAGCTGACACCACCCGTGACCCAACTCCAGACCCTCTCCTCAATGGTACTAGGCATTGGCACCGTGCATCCAAGATGCAAACACAATCGGCAAAAGGCACAAGGAGGGCGTTAATCCGAACAAGGAAATCCAACCCAATCACAAACTCATAGTCGTCAAGGGGTATTACCTCAATGGTCTCCTTGCCTTTCCAATCTCCAAGCTGCAACTCCACTCCCCGTGCTACTCCAATGGCTGGAACTTCCTTGGAGTTTACCGTCTTAATGGTACCAGTCCCTTTCTGCACCTTCAGTCCGAGCTTCCGGGCTCCATCACCTGAAATAAAAAGATGTGAGGCACCTGTGTCCACCAGTGCGCTCACCTTCTGACCCGCAACCATCAGATCCGCAAACATCAAGCCCTTTGGCTTGCGGCTCCCCTTACTCTAGACAGCATTGAGCACCAACGACCCAAGCTTTGCTGCCCCTGACTCTGGCTCCTCGTCAGACTCCCTGTCTACAGCAGCCAGCTTGCCCTTCTGCGGGCAATTGCGTGCTATGTGGCTCCCTCCACATAAGTAACATGCTAGTGGCTTTCGGTCCCCCTTTGCTTTCCACTTGCTTGCTGATGGCTTCCTCTCGCCATCCTTGGTTGAACGATCTCGGTCTCCATCCTTGGACTCCCGGTCACGGTCCTTCCCATTGGACTGCTTCTTCCGGTCCCTATCGTCCCTGCCCTTACCCTTGGGCTTGGTAGACTCGAACTTGTTCAGAGGCTTGAACTCTATCAACGCCTCGACAGTGGTCATGGCTTTAGCCAAGTCATGAACTCCCCTCCTTTGTAGCTCATGCTTCACCCACGGCTTCAGCCCATCCATGAAAGCAAAGAATGCGTCCTTCTCGCCTAGATCCGAGATCTGTAGCATCAGTTCAGAGAATTTTTGAACATACTCTCTTATGTTCCCTTGCTGGCTCAACCTGCGCAACTTTGCCCGCGCCTCATCATCGGCATACTCCGGGTAAAATTGTTCTCTGAACTCCTTTTGGAACTCTGCCCAGGTTCCAATCTTGGCGTTCCCACGCCTGACATCATCACACCTGCGCCTCCACCACAATAAGGCTACATCAGTGAGATACATAACAGCGGTGCTTACCTTTATCGCCTCGTCTTGCATGCCCATGGCCTGGAAATACTGCTCCATACCCCAAAGGTAATTGTCTACTTCCTTGGCCGCCCTAGTCCCCTTAAACTCCTTAGGCTTGGGGACATCCAATCTGGATCTGGACACTCCAGCAAACATGCCATTCCCAATGGCAGTCTTGCAAGTAACGAGCTCACTGGTAAGCTCCTCCATCCGCTGGCGCATGGCCTCCATGCCATGGCGCATGGCCTCCATGCCATCTCGCAAATTCAGAACTTCCGCCTCCAAGGATTCATTCTTTCGGGTGATCTCATCCAGGCCATTGTTGAGAGCAGCTGCTAGCTCACTTTGGATCTCCTCCCCCATGGAGTCTAGCGATGCAATGTGAGTTTCTACTTCCTCCAGCTTCTCCCCCATGTCGCCCATGGTCACCTCCACCTTGGCCAGCCTACCGTCCATGGTAGAACAGATATCTCTAGAACCAGCTTTCTTACCTCTTCCCCGGCCATGCTCCTGGGCCTCTGGTTGTTGGCTAGCAACGTCACTTTGGGATGCCATCTCCTCAATCACGATCTAACCTGCACAACACAAACACGCAGAATCGAACTTGGCTCTGATACCAACTGTCACGGGCTCCGACCTTAGACTCAGAATCCGTGCGGCCTTAGGCTTGGAATCTCGTCCTTGATGCCTAAGTCAGCCTAAAACACAAGCGTGCGGGCACTAGAACAAAGGGAAGGGCTGATTACGCAAGTTAAAGAGAAACAGGACAGGAAAACAGAATTCTGGAAATGCTCTTGTATTCACTGAAACAGAAGTGTTTGATGGTGTACAAATGAGGGTGGAGCAGCCCTCTATTTATAGTTGAGGCTCCAGCTACAACTTAATGGCAAATCCCTAAAATAAAGGCTACAATCATGGGATTACATTTAATCAAGATGCTGGTTCCTGATTTTCAGGGTCAACCAAATCTGCCAGGATGCTGATGCTGATCCTGCCTGGTTCCAGAAGCTTCCCTTGCGTATCCAGCACCTCGGGCCCTTCTGGATGTGGTGCGGGCAGCCCAAATGCCAGGCCTTGGTCTCATGAGTTGGCCTGCAAGATGGGCGGGCGTTTGGAGCTCGTTTGATAGGCTTTGCGCACTGATACCCGCCAGCACGCCTGGTCTGCGGGCCTCAGCTTCTGGCTCGCCTGCTGGTCTGCCTGATGTGCTTGGCGCACCCGCCCAGGGCGTGACACTTACATCTTTTGTCAACATTTCGTCGGTACTAATGCTAAAGTAGCCAAAAATAAAACAAATCATGATGATTTCCATGTTTTTGTTTCCTTTTGTGTCATCGCTTCTTGCACTTAAGGCTACAACTAATTTAACAAATCATTCACTACATAAATATTTTTAATTTGATTTTATCTTTTTCCCTCAATTGATTGTGCCACAACATACCAGCAACTGTGGTCGGAGCTCCTCAACTAGTTTGACCAGCTCCGGCATTTCCATCTCCAGTCTTTCAAGATATGCTTCCATCCCCACAAAGGCCTTGTCAAACTTTTTATATCTGCTAATAGCTAAGCCATCATCCCATGGCCCCAGCTACCTCTACCATTGCCGTTGTTCTTGTCATTCTACCCACAAGACCTCGACATAGTTGCAGCTATTAGTATGCAACAACATAATATGAGAAATTAGTTTATCTGAAATTAGTCAAGATATTACAGACGCCGATTTGAAGAGTAAAGAAACCAGTACACACATTGCATCACTTTACCAGCCTGACCTAAAAAATTCTGTCTTAATACTGTTTGTTGAAACAGCAACTTTCGTCTAAATAAGATCAATATTGCTTGAAAACAGTAGCAGCTGCTTGTGATGTACAAGTGCTATTGTGAAGGTTCAGGGGCCAAAAAATTAGGATCTCCGTTTCTAATGGCTTGCATAGCTTAAACAGTAAAAACAATTCCAAAGTGAATGGCCCTACTTAGTCATTCCCGTGATTCTTATCACTGGATCAACTGATGTGAAATGCAGAATCAGCATGTAGATTTTCAATTCAAGTGAATCTGACATATTGTATGATTGCACATGTTTTTCTGGAACTGGAAAGTGGTTCCACCTTTGTCAACATTTGTTCTGTACTAAATACTGAAGTAGCCAAAAATAAAACAAATCATGATGATTTCCTTGTTTTTCTCTTCTTTTTTTCTTGTTTTTTCGCCTTACAGTTTAAGCTAACTCATTTATCAAGTCATTCTGCAACATTTTTTAATCTGACATTAGTTTTTTCCCTCAATGAATTGTGGCACAACAAATCAGCAATTGTACCAAAAGCTCCTCAAAATAATTGGCACTGTTGCTAATTGCTTTGATCAAACATGCAGTGATAGTAGTTGACAAACATACCACAAACACATTCAACGGCAGCAAAATACAAACATAAGTTGTATAGAAATGAAAAGGTAACATCCATTGATAAAATCTAACAGTTTTCCATATTGTCCCACATAAGTGGGTAATAAATGACAGGAAACCAAGAAAAAAAGGGCAGGAGAGAGAGACTTACAAATACTATGAGCCTAGCAAAAGAAAGAGACTTAAAATGTTTTATGAGAGGTTTTCTTCCCAAATATTGCTTCCCAAACCAAAGTTGAGAAAGGTGCCTTCTTGTCCAGAAACTGTCTGACAGCCATATCATCAACCAGAAATCCCTTTTGTTTTAAAGTTCCAATAACACTCTGTGCTTCTTCCACACCCTTCTCCTTACACAACCCATCAACCAAGCCCACAAATGTGGTTACATTTGGAGAATGTCCCGCTTCAAGCATTTCCAAACAAAACTCAATGGCATCATCCAATTGGTTACATTTATACAATCCTTGAATCAAGACAGTATAACTAAAGGCATTAGGAGTTACACCTTTTGATTGCATCTTCCTGAAAATTCTCTTTGCGTCATCAAGCTTATGGGCTTTGCAGAAGCCATCAACAACAGCTGTATGTATAACAACTTCTGGGATTGTACCTTTCTCCCGCATTAATCCGAAAAGCTTCATTGCTTCTTGGATAAGCCCATCTTTACAGAGCCCATCAAGCATGGCTACAGCGTTGGGGATGAGACCCGTCTCCTTCATTTTCTTGAAAATCTCATTAGCATCCTGAGGCGGTGAAAGCTTTTCTTCTTGCCGTTTACGTACCTGGGCTGCTGCTTCTGAATATGATGGCTGTTTTTCTCTCTTGTTGTTAAGTCCAAGCTTGAATTTTTCCAGGAAGTTTACATCAGATTGAGAATCCTCTCTGTTCTTTTCAGGATCAGAAGCAAATTTGGTATTGGGGGATTGAAAAGAGGAACCATTACTATTAAAGGTAGCTCCTTTGGTTTCTCTTAAAGATGGATTGAAAGGCCTCTGGCCCCTTAAGGGTCTGTTGGGAATATGCTCGGGAGCCTTATCACCATCTCCTTTTCTGTTAAAACTGATAGGTTCGCTGTCCCTGAAGGGTCGTCTTATATCGCTGAAAAGGCGCGTTTGCAATAGATAAAGCGGAGGCGGTGCTCTTGAGATGGCCTTATAGGGCTTCAAAGTTAAAATCTTTATCAGCTTCATAAAAACCCGAGCTTTTGATGATTCCATATTGTAACACTAAGTTTTAGTATCAAAGGCTTTTGTTTTCTTCTTCAATTCAAAGAAAATGCTTTTGATTTTGACAGGGAGTCCGGGTTTAAGTTTATGGAAGTTAGGGTTTTGTGGCCAATAGAGCGGGAGAGGGATCAGAGACAGAGAGGCCAATTTTGTTGATGGGTAAAACAGTAATTTAAGTACAAGCATTAAGGGTATAGCAGTTGTTGGGGTAGCAAATCCTAATTTTTTATAAAAAAAATTATATTTACACCTCACTTATTGGTTTATACACCCTACTTCTAAAGAATAATACACCTCAAATTCAAAACCCGAATGCACTTATTTTTTATTTTTCATTCTATATTTTCTTTTTTTTTATTTTTTAAAATCAAAATTTTAAAAAATAAATATCTAAAAATCTCACTTTTAATTATTAAAAACTTTAATTATACGTTTTATGAATCCATTTATTTGATTATATATGTAAATAGAATTGAATCAATGTTATCAAACATACATTATATAAACTTTATTTCTTTTTTTTTAGATTTCAAAAAACGAAAACCACTACTTTTTTATTTTTTTAGTTTTGCATAGGTAAATGTGTTTTTAATTTTATGATTTCAAAACAAGAATACCTTTATGTCCGTATATGTTTGAGAATTAATATTTTTTTATTCGTACATATGATCAAATAAAAATAAGCATATCGATCATTATGTGTATGTATATATATTAGACCGAACTTAAACATCTTATAAAATATTGGTCAAGATAATATCATTAACGAATTGATAAATTTGACAGTAAAAAATTTTAATTTTTTTGCTACCAATCTTAATAGTCGAAAGATTAAAGATCTTTATTATCAAAATTAAAATATACCTAAAAAAATCATTAAAAATATTTGAAGATCAAAAAATAAAATGTATTTATTTTATTTAAATTAAAATTAAATGTCATAAAAAATTTATAATTAAATATATATTTAAACAAAAATTAAAATATTTTAAAAATAAATTTCTAATAATATAATGACTCTTAAAAATTTATTTACGAGAAAGTAATATCATTTTCAAAAATTATATTGTGTTATCAAAAATGAAATTTTAAAAACATAAATTCTTGAAACTCTATTTTTGAGAATTACAAAAATGATTTTAAGGTATTTAAGTTATTAAAAGTATTTTTATCATTTATTAAATGTTAAAATTAGTATTTATTATGGGGTATTTTAAAAAGAAAATTTTGTAGTGTATTTACAAGCACCTTTTTTCCGTGGTATGCCCGGTAGCAAGGGGACACTTGGGTATTGGATTGAGGCTTTACCATACCCGGAAACTCCACTTCATGCCAGTGACTTACGCCAGCTCCAATGCCCACAATCCAATCACTTGCTGAAAGCACTTTGGCTTTTGCCTCCGGTTTTTGTCTAATTCAATTTCAAGAGGTAATGTTGCCTCTCTCAATTACCCCAGAATTTTTTTACATTCACTGGTTAATCAACACCAAAGGAATTGGAAATACAGAGTATAATATTGTGTTTTCTTTCAAGTAACTCGTTTCAGATTTTCAAGACTAATAAAGTAACTGCATTTGGTAACAGCTCGACACATAAAAATGAATGTGCTTTTCAATTTCTGTACTACAGCGCCATTGCAACATATTTTACTTGGAGTCTTCAAGTCAAGAATTTATGAATTGTGATTGCTGCCAGAGATTAATGTCCGGCTCTTTTTTTTTTTTAAATAAGAAGAAAGGGTTCATTCAATCATTCATAAAACTGAGTTACAGTCTTCCAATACAGAAATAAAAGTAAGGTGCTCCTCTATCCAGGTCTTGCTTCTGGGTCCTCTAATCTACTCTTTGCCAATAAATGTGCTCCCTTTTTATACAATCTCAGGGCTATGCTGGACATGACAAACAGGAATTAAACTGTTTCATTTTCTCTTCTACATCCTCTGTGATAGTCCCCACTAGTGATAGATCGGCCTCTCTCCCAGCTAGTGATTTGATAATCATCAGGGCACAGCCTTCAAGGATTATTCTTGTGAACCCCAACTCTGCTGGTAAACCCAGTGCTAAAAAAGCTGCTTCAGCTTCAGCATGAAAGGATAGCCCCATATCTGATATTGGGATCGCAGCTGCAGCTTAATACTGCAGCTAATACTGCACCTGTGTTGTCTCGAATCACTATTCAAGCTCCTCCCCTTTGTGATTGCTTCTTTATTGCCCCATCAAAATTGACCTTGACTATGTCATCTTTGGGAGATTGCCATCGCTTCTGTGTAATCTGGACAGCAGTGTTTGTAGCCTGGTTTGCTTTAGTTTCCTCTATATATTTCTGGATGAAAACCAGCAGCTCATGCAGGCTCCTCTTTGTATCCCCATGCAGCTGTCATACAAGCATGAAGAGTCTCTTTAGCACTTGACATGCAAATATTTTTCACCCACTCTGCGCTATCTTAGTTTCTTCCCTGACTTGTCTGTTTAATGTGCATTGCTTCCCAGACTTGGTCCTCAAGTGGGCATGTTCTAATGGCATGCATCACAGTTTCATCCGATGATCCATATATGAAACTCGATCTATTCACTTCTATTCTCCTTTTTTGCAAATTTACCATAACCGGTAAAAAGCCATGATAAATTCTCCAAAACAGTGATTTGATCTTACTTGGGATATCAGCTGCCCACAAGGTGGTCCACATTTTTCCCAGTGTTTGTATCTGCCTTGCTGGGTAAATACCTTCATCGTTTCTTTCTTGTAGCAGCTGCCTGTAGCCGCTCTTGACAGTGTAATAGCCTTTGTTGTGGTGATGCCACACTAGTTGATCTGCAACTCCAGTTTGGATGTTGGGATGGAGCAAATGGTGTTCACTTCTTCTTTAAGTTATCATATTAAAGATTTTTAACGTTCAGATATCATATTAAACACTTTATTATAAGCAAGGGGAATTCATAACATTATCTCTATTTTTTATGATAATAATTATGATATATATGGTTTAATAACCCCTTTAAAAAGTTAATAATTCTTGGTTTGATTTTAATTATATATATACATATATATAAGATATGATGTGAAATGTGTATACATCCAATTAAAGAGATGAGTTTCTTCTATTGACATGCAATTTAGCTAATGAACTTCCAAAAGAAAGAAAAAAACATGGGGTGATAACTATGTAGAATGAGGGAAATAAATTATTTCTTTCTCTAAGATCTACCTTTCTGTTACTGATATACTTTGTTAGAGATTTTTTAAAAAAAATTTTTCTTTGTGCTGCCAATTCTTTTTTTTCATACGGTGATGCCTGGTTTATTTTAGTTTAATATCTCATTTACTGTCAAACCAGAGCCATTACTTTGACAAACCACCTTGTTATCTGCGCACTCAACCAGCTGTTGGGTGGCTTCCAATTCAATTAAAGACAGGTCCTTGAGGATGTTTTCTGTAGTTTGCAGAATGTGGAAATCATTAAAATTGTCTACCATTGATTCCATAACAACCATATTCCTTCTTATAGACTATTCCAAATAAGAACAGAGAGCGAAGAAAATTCTAGAATGCACAACAAATCAAGACCTTATACATGTTTTCATCTGGGACTAGAATTTTAATGCATATGCAAATCATGTTATACTTTGAGACATAATAAATTGACATCCTTGACCCGAACCCCTTACAGACTTGAGCTTACACGAGCTTTTTGATGCATTAAGCATACTGCTAATTTGGTCTTCTGGCCCTTGCTATTTGGACATAAAGCCTGCCACAACTGCAGCAATTATAGCAGTAGGATCGCCAAGAATGGCAGAGACAATAAGACGAACAGCCCCACCAGCCATCTGACAACATTTCTTTACCTTTCCCCCTCCTCCCCCATGATGGGTTTTCAGTGTTCGCTTGAGGCTTGGAATCCTGGTCTGCATCTCCCTGACCTTGTTCCTATCAGCATTTAAATACATGGCTTGCCAACTTTCAGCTAGCAACTCTTTAACACACGAGACATGAAGATTATAACTCTTGCATTGAGACCTGTAGGACCATCCAGGTCCTTTGCCACCGCAGTGATGGCATGAGCTAGACAGCTTGAGGCACAGGTAAAGATTATGTTCTCCATCATCCAAGACTTGAGGGAGGTTTGCACAACAAGGATGAAGATCAAAACCACATCCCTTGCAGTTGTAGACAAAGCCCTGAACAGCGTTTCTACATGCATCACATATCCTCATCTGCTCCCCAGGGGGTTCATAGTGGAATTGGAACTCACATTTTGTATAAAAGGGATGAGTAATGGTAGGAGATGGCATAGCACATGCCTTGTGCAAATCGAAATCGCATTGCTGACAGCTGTATTTGAGGCCAATGCCAGCTTCCTTACAGCCGTCACAGTTGAATGATATCTCTGTATATTCAAGCTTTAGCTTGTGCTGTGGATGGATTGGGTGGGGAATTTCTTTGTTGATCTTCATTGGGTTTGAGTACTTCACTTCAACAAGCTGAGGGGAGACAGGCAATGCTTATATAAGGAGTTAGACGAGTTAGACAGGTTACTCTGGTTTGTCTTTAAATAGATAAACATGGGTTTTTGAACAGTCTTTTAGGTAGTTTTGTCTTTGAATAGATAAACATGGGTTTTTGAACAGTCATCTACGTAGATACTTTGCTTAAGTTTCACATGTTGAGAATAACTTGTTTAAGTTGATGCAACGATTATAATTCCTGATGAGTAGAGTTGAATGAAGAATCAAGATAGCATTTAGATCATACAATCATCTTTAAAAGATAATATTTTTAAATTTCAGTAATTTTTTTTTATGTCTAGAATGTGACTTTTTCTATATATATTGAGTTTAATAACTCAAAATTTGTAGTGATCACCGTCTAATTTGTCCATGCTGTCCTACATTATAATGTCTAATTGTTCTAGATGTTAGTAAAATCGGATTTCGTCACAATTTGGAAAACTAAATTTGAAAAAGTTGGTAACGGGGCACACAACAAAGCAAATTTGAGCGAGGATGAAATGTAAGAAAGCTGATGGTTTGAACAGAATATATCCTTATAATTATTACATTAAAATTAAGTAATTATAATTTAAAATTATGTAATATTTATAAAAATTTTATATGAATTTTATTTGTAGAGGTGTTGGACTCTTATATAATTTTTTATCATAATTGGATAATTATAACATTATAATAAAAAAATTATAAGTAAAATGTTTCATGGTTTGAACTGATATAAAATTTTCAGAGAAGGGTTGATTCGAAAGCTTCTAACTTTGGAAAATGAAATATTCCTTTGATGAAACTCTCACTCTTCCTTCAAAATGTACAAGAGAATAAAGGAAGCAGTGTTCCATGGATTGAGAATACCCCAACAACAGGAGTTTTATGAGTCAGAATTGTCCTACTCTTCTCTCTAATGATTGAAAGGGAATTCAACAAAAAAAAAAAAAAATAGCAGCCTGGATTATTCGGTGCCATCACCCACCAGGTTGGTCTCAGCTCTTTGAAAAGTTTGTCGTCTGGCATCTGAGTTTTTGATTCAGGTAGAAGAGCAACACCTAACATTATCAGTATCTGATAATTCTCATCTTTTCTTTTTCCTTCTTTTATTTAACTGCAGAAGCCTGATTCAAATTGTGTAGAAGGTTGGTTGAAATATGCAAAAGGTAAAAATAATTTACAAAATGCGAATGTTTGTGTCAGTCAAATCATCCATGAAATGGAGCTATAGTTACAACTGTCAAATTTTAGATATGATATGAAAATTGTATAAAAAATTATAAAAATAATTCGAAATAAAATTTTGATAAAACATTTTATGTTTGATATAAAATATGAATTATAATATAATAATTTTTATATTTTATACACATTCAACATAAAACAAATATGATACAAGTATACATTTGTTAAGTCCAACTATATAATCTCTTGTAACTGTTATTTTAGGCATTTTGGCCTTAGCTGGTCTGATTTACGGGACAACAAGTTATAAAAGAAATGAGATCTATGGTCAATGGTTTAATTTGTAAGAGATGCAGTCAAACAATGCTAATGTCATGGTCAAATTGGGAATCAAGAAGCACATGGCAAATAAATGAAGATTGAGGAATCAAGGAAAGTTGTCAAGTGTTGGGAATTTCTTTTCCAAATTCTAATAAATCTAAAAATCTTCTATTTACTTCCCTTTAATCTCATTTTCTCTTTATTTTTCTTTCCTTTTTCCTTTATCTTTTTTTTTTCCTTTTGGTAGAATTCTCATTTCTCCTTTCACTGTTTAAAGAAGGAATAAAGCAAAATTTTGTCTTCTAAGAAGCTAGCAAGACGTAAAGAATACTAACAAACAGAACAGAGAAAAGCATGATTCAAAATGCTCTTGGTGTCTTCAGGAGACTATGAGAAGAGAGATCTTTGCTTTGTTAAAGTGGGTTGAAACGTACAAAAACAAAGTCAAGTACTTGAATTTGAAGATTAGTTTAATTGAATTACATAATATTTATATTTTTTTTTGTCTAAAATGCGGTTTTTTTTTTTTTTCTTTTTGTAAAATGAAGTTCAGATACCCTGCAATTTTTTTGATAAAACTATCGTAAACGACAAATCCACAGTTAAAGCAAATTTAGAGACAGCATGAAGTGACATTTGGGATAAGTTTGCTTCTTTTGCAAAGGATAAGATGTAAATATTATTAAATTAAATGTTGATGCCCGAAACCCCTTATTTCCATCTAATTCAAGAATCAAAACCATCCATCCATCCATCAAAACCCATAATTTCCGAAACTCAATTCCCTCAAATTGCTTGCAATAACGAATAAAAGACAGAAATATTGATAAGCAAATCAATGCTCATTGGAAAACAGACCTTAATTCAATTTTTTATGCAATAATATTTAATAGGCGCCTTTTTGATGTGATCCAGTGCTTTTGTTGGTACATCCATGAAGTCATATCAACAATACTTGTTATTTCAAAATGGATTGGCATCTCATTTCCCTGTTTATAATTTTCTATTTTTTCTTTTATAGCTAAAATTTAGCTAACACACAAAGATAAAACTCTCATCAGGAGTAAATTTTCACATAAACTGCATCAAGAATTCTAGTTAGTTTCATAACATTTCACTTTTACCATTTTTTTTCTCTTTTTTTCTCTAAGATCTTTATTTAAAGAGAAAAAAATGAAGAATCTTCAGAGACCAGCTGAACAGAGGAATCAGCAAAACAGAGGCGCATATTGTGTAGGCTGCATGTGTTTCCCCACCGTGAGTGTAAACAAATCTGCTAATCTGCTTTTATGATGCATGAGGTGGTTACCCAGAATTATTATGCATATTGTGTAGCACGCATGTGTTTCCCCACTGTGAGTGTATAGAAAACTACAAATCATAATCATTATTCATGAGGTGGTTATCCAGAATTCTTCAGATTATTGACACAGGGTCACCAATCTCCATAGATTTTTTTCTTCCATAAATAATCTCCACAGAGTTACTAAAAGAAACTAATCACTCAGAATTGACAAATTATACACCTGAAAGACATCAATTATACTATACATGGCAACATGACTGAAAAGCCTATCCTAATTCTACAGCATTCAAAGGTGAAGAAAAGCCTAGCCCAATTACTAGGATAGGATTGAAGACAAAGACTTGAAATATAAAATCAGCTAAGATAAACCAAATTACATGATAGAAATGTATTGCACCATCAGAGGCCATCCTTCATACTGATCTTTATATTTTGCACTTTAATTGACAGCTGTAGCTTATGGTCTTCAATGTCTTTTAAAACAGAAAGCAAGTTAGCCCGATAAACTTCACACTTTCGACTTGCATATTCCAGTTCATTGGTAAGTTCTCGGATCTTTTTGTCCATATCATCCTGAAAAGCAATGAAGAACCTGTCATATTTACCCATTTTTTCTTATATGTGCATATTTAAAGTTGTTAATTTATAAGTCTAGCATAAAGAAAGTGAGTTAGATATATGTCAAAACCAAATTGTTTACATCCTAAGAATCATTGAACAGAGTCCCTGAAGATAGTCCAAATCATATATCTCAAAACCTACATGGTTAAAAGACAACAAAGAAGAGCTGCATACTCAATTATCCATTCAGTATGAACATGTAATGCCTTGCTTAATCATGGAGCAGAACACCTTAGGAAAATGAAAGATACTATGCTTAGACCCAAATTTATAACCAGATTGTTGCCGAACAAGAATATAGGATAAGTAGAATATATAATGCAAGAACAGAGCCTTTACGAATCATTAAAGAAAAAGCATGAGGAAAGGTAAAACCAGGTCTATTGGAGCTGAAAAACCATCCAACAGATTTTGATCTGTATGTCCTTTGCTACCAAACTTTTGAGAGAGATCAATTATGAACAAACAGTCTGAGTATATGCATTTTAATCTAAAGCCCAGAACCCACTGAGGCAACTCTACAGCTTTCCTATTCCTATTGAAATTATGGTTCCCCTGAAGTTGAACAATCAATCAAAAACATTAAACTGAATTTCCAGAGCTAAATACAATACGTTCAATGACATATCCATGGAGTAAAAGTAAGTTTGAACAGAAATAACCCCATTGGTAAGGCTTACTACAATAATAACAAATTCAAATACAAACAGTAAGTCAGGTCTGAAGAAAATGAGAAATAACTTTTACAGCAAAGTTTAACCAAGAAGTAACCTTAAAAGAATTGATGTATGTAGTGTTTTCATTCAGTACACCATATGTAGAACAAGCAACAGCAAAATTGAATAATAATTCTAACCTCAGACAAAGGTTGACTGGGCATTTTGTGATTAATAGTATTTGTCCGACTGGCTTTACGTGCAGAGTCCCCCCTGATACGCCCATTAACCATCATAGGCCTCCCCTCATTCTTTGATGCAAGAGCAACTCTTTCTGCCGCTTCCTGGAGAGCAACAATTGCCATATTGTAAGTGTCTAAAGACTTCGATCCTTCATCAACAAACTTTAAGGCCTCATGACGTAGGGTATTATACCGAACTGTATGAGATTCTAGATAATTAGTATATACATCACTAGCACGTTCTTCTAATATAACACTACTCCTTGCATTTCTCGTCCATCTTTTCAAAATATAATGAGATGGGAGAGTAAGAACATTGGTTACTCTGAAAACTGCCAACACATGTCTACAAAGAAGACCAGAGAACTCAAACATCTGGCAACTACAAGTGGCTTTCATTTCTAAAACATTGAACTTAACATAGTATGATTTATGATCCTCCCCAAACTTTGCCACCTGATATGTTATGATGTCAGCATCATCATCTGATTTTGATGCCATTAATGTCAGAGTTCCAACTAGCTCCTCCTGAAATCTTGTAAACAATTTTCTGGTATAAAGCTCTGATGCCTGTTTCTCCATTGGAGATGGGGTCTTCAGAGCAGGGGAAGTGTTCATTGTATCATAATCTGCCTTCACTTCTTTCTCGTTTCGGCTCTCCAGAGCTTTCTCA